CCACTCGCCCACTTTTCCTACTCTGCGCAGAGTTGTCGACTCGCTGTTGGACAAACTCCTCGAGCAGCTCCCTTGCCTTTCGGTCCTTGGACATGGATTTCGACTCTTTACTGGCTGTTAGGTACGCCAATTGCAGTTCTTCATCCTCAAATCGACACCCATCCTCAGGTTCGATGTATCCCTCCACTCGCAACTCGCCCTTTTCATCAATTCCCATCCACACACACAGCTCTTCGCCTCCCCAGTCTCCCACTAGTTCCTCGACGAGTTCTGAAAATCCGATTCCACCTCGACCTTGGCCCTATGCTCTCGGTTTTCCTTCTGAGCAGGCGGATCCTTCCCAGGTTCTTCGACCCGTTTCGAGTTCGACACCACAGAATAGGTTCCCCTTGCCTGAGTCGGTATCACACACCTTCGCTCTCGGTTAGGATCGCGAATAGTGAGCATTTGGTTCCCATTTCCGAAGTTTTCTAACTTGGATTCCGTTCACGAGATCGAATGGTCGTCCGAGCAGAACTTCATAAGCCACTTGGTCGATGATATGCACTTGCAGATAGACGGGTATGTCTCCAAACAAGAAGCATACGTTTCGCGCTAACCCAGCAGACTTCTTCAGTTGCCCATTCGCACTTTGCATGTAGATTTGCAAGTCAGGATCCCAAGGAATCCCCAATCTTTCCGCTACCGACAATGCCATCGACACAATTTGCGATCCACTGTCAATAACACACTCTACACGCTCTCGTGCAGCGACTAACGGCCACACAACCCTCAACGACGCCGAATCTTTCCCTGAGAAGACTTGCTTGGGCGGTTCTCCCGGTGGGAGGGATGCCACATACTGGAGATATGGGTCGGTACTCACGTATGAGCCTTCCTGTATTCCGTATTGCTTATCCTCTTCAGTAGAGATGTAGAACGAGTCCACCATTGGCAGTTCGTCGATGTCTACCGCGTCATTTTGGAGTCGAACTTCAACGTTCTCATCTTCCATGAACCTACATCTCGCTTCTTGTTCGTCTCGCACTTGGGCGATTCCGAGTTGGGTACCATCCTGGCAGCATATTCCAACTTTTCGTCCTCAGAATCTTCCCCTCTGAATCGAGCTTTGCGTTTCTTCTTTGGCACATCCTCTTTCTCCAGCACCTCCGGCTCAGATTCTTCCTCCTCACTCGAAGACTCGACAGGATCATCCTTTTTCCTTCGATCTTCCTTCTTCTTCGACGATTCCTTTTCCTTATTCGCAACTTTCGATCAGTTCTCAGGAGATTTCGTTGCCTCAGGAGCTTTCTTTCGCCAGCTCCCTGTCTCCTTCCTCGAACTATCTAAAAATTTCGTCCCTCCCCAGCGTTAGAGTCTTTTCCCGAACGCGTATTCGCAAATTGGGACTCCATCGATTGATTCGCGGACTGCGAACTGGATCCAGATTGGTTCTGCATGGCCTGAACCATATTGTACATCGTCATGAACTGTTGAAAGTTCGGATCGACCGGGGGCAGGCCTGGTTGAGCAGGCCCTTGAAGGTACGCAGGGTACGCTTCACTCTTTTGCCCCGTTTCCCCCATTCTCTGCTGTTGTCTACCTCCTATCCCTTGCTGCGACGCTGAATCTCGTTGTAGGATTTGTGGAAACGATTGGATCGCCCCCGGCTGGTTCGAGAATCTTGCTGGTTCATGAGCTGAGACATTATTCGATTGATATTGTCTAGTCATAGCAGCCATTTGCGCCCTCAATGAACGGATTTCATCCTCATTCGTGTCATACAGCAAATTATACTGCTCGCTGGGAGTATATTCATTGTAGAACGACGACTGAAGGTTCGTCTGCGCATTTCCTGACACAATATTCCCTCCGCCTTTGCCATACCAGTCGAGAATTCGTTGATATCTCGAGACATTCTCAGGATACTTGAATATATTGACCTCCTGGTAGACGCAAGCCTCCATTCTCCATAACGATCTTCCCTTGGTCCAACAACATCCTCTTCTTTGGGCAATCCCGCACCATGTGTCCAGTCTCTTCACAGAAATGACACTGGTCCCCTCCACTCTGTTGTCCTCCATATCCACGACTTCCTCCTTGTTGATACTCGCTGTGTGGCGGTCCCGATTGAGGGTGCGCATGCTCCTTGGACTTACTTTCGGTAGCCTGATGGAACTGCTTCATCGTCTCGATGAGTTGCTTATCCCTAACGGCCATAACGTCCTTTAACGGTTTATCTCTAAGGCGAAACTCTCCATTTGATCGCGAAACTCGTTTTTCACTCTAATATCGTTCGTAGAGTTTCCGCTTTCGAGCTCGAGAGCAAATTCGAGGGTTTCGAGTCGTTTCTCATCATCGCATCTGCCTCCCGTCCAGACCAATTGTTCGCCAACCATTCCACCACCTTCAAGACGTCCTTGTAGTTCCACTTATCGCCTCTTCGAGTATTTCCCGCGTTTTGGTTTCCCGCATTCGCATTCAGACCCAAGATATTTGCCACATTCGGTTGGTTCAACACAACTTCGACTGCCGAAGCAAAATCATCGCTGCGCGTACCAAGAATCGACGATACCAACTCTTTGTTGGTGATTTGCGATGGTGGTCTGAGCAGTTTTTCGGATTCTGCCAAAAAGAATGCACAAAATCGAATCACTAGACCCAGATCTTCACGACTAGCACCCCGTGCCTCGGCGCAAATTTCCTTCAAGCGTCTCCTCGATCCTTCGTTGACCTCCTCCAACTCCGGATACATCTTCAGTATCTCCGCCTTCCATCCATCGAAGTCTCCTCCAGCAAACGCTGTCAGATTCCGCCACGCTTCCTTCACATGTTTAGTATCGAGATACCTCAGCACCGTCTCCTTCTTTTCCGTCGTTGTCGATGCCTCCCTGCACGATGATTCGCTCGCACTCCTCTAGGAACTTCTCCAACTTGGCAGGAGTCTTTCCATCGAAGCTAGGACGACCGGAATCCCATGTTTCAGGCACCTTGAACCGCACCGCTGCTCCTCCTTGAACATTTCTTCCTCCACCACCTCCATTTCCACCTGCGCCACCCGCGCCGCCTCCGTTCCCGCCATTTCCACCATTTCCATCGTCCATGTTTTCGTTGTTTTGTTGAATCGGAGGTTCGTTAAGCCGATTCGTGTTGATTTCGCTCTCTGATAAGTCGGTTAGAGGCGAAGATGGTGTCGGAGATTGTTGTTCTTCTTCGACAGTCGCTGAATTTGTGTTGGTTTTGCGCTTTGTTGTAGATTTCGATTGAACGCGCTTTTGTGTTGATGCTTGAGTCGGTCTTTTCGACGAAGATGCTTGAGTTTTTGTCGATTTTGTCGGGATTGTCCGATTTCGATCGCCTTGCGAGTTACGGGTAGTCCTCGGTTTCGCGTTCGCAGATAGTTTTGGTGCGAATAACGGTGTCGGTCTCAGTTCTCCAACTCCGCGTAGTAAATTCGGAAAATCGTTCGGTTGGGAATCAGTTAGATCTCGCTGTTTCCCTTTTGGTGGTATTTTGACGTTCGATCCAAGCGTGTGGGCGCTTGCTTTTCTTCTTGCTTGTCACAAATTGCACGAAACCAAGTTTCAGCAATACTCGATCACCCCTCGCGGTGGGCTCCAGATGATGAGTGCGGAGTGGGGACTGCAAATGAGCTCTCTAACTAACCAAACCAACAAAAACAACCAAAACTCCACTTGTCGTAGAGAGAAAGATGTATAATGTCGAGTAGGAAAAGTCACAAAACCCAAAAAAATCGTCAACTCCTTGTGCGAGTACAGGCCCCTGTGAACAGAGCCTTGGCACAGATGTGTAAGGTTGTAGGGTAGATACGAGTTTCTTGCGAAAAACGTTGATTTGTCGTGCCCCAAAGCGTACTATCGACGAAACTCAGCAATAGAGAAGCGCCAATACGATGCCCGGAGAGTTTATACTCGTTGGATCAGGACTAACTGCCTTAAACCCTCTGAGTTGTCTCGAGTCAGGAACTAACTGCCTTAAACTCTCGACCAGCAACCGAAACCCAATAAACAGCAACCGGGAACTCTTGTATTCAGCAACCGAAACCCTCAACCAATAATCCTTCCGACGCGATGATACTATTTCGAAAGAGCTAGCAAGATAGATTGACGAGCTAGATCCCCAGATGCACCTAGTAGAGCGGGGCAATCCGTGAACCTGCCAAATACAAAACAGAGATATAAATACTAAACAGAAATTGATAGAATCAGGGAAAATCTCGAGTAAGAAAAGTAGTCCATGTGCATAATTGTATAGGTATCGTTTCGCCATACGGCCCAGAGTCGAAAATCCAGGTCCAGATGACTGGTATCGCGTGTATTGGAGTCAATGACCTGTGTAAATCTTCCGTGTTCGCGACCATCTAGTTTTGCTTGTGAAGAATCCCTCGATCTTGAGTAGGATAAGTGGATAGCTCTGCTTCCCAGCTTTCGATTGACACCCATAACTCGTATCTTGTGCATATGGCCTCAGCGGTGGTTCTCCCAACTCTCCTGGCGCATTTCCAATGTTCAGATGATCTGTTCCTCGACAGTGTTTTAGAGTCGCCGTTGATCACAGGTCCAGGCCCCAGTCAATTGAGTAGGTTTTCGCCGTTTAACCGTCCCTTGGCACTCTCGACCCTCCAGCATGATCCGAAACCACGTTCCAATGATGTCAGTCGTCGATACCAACAGAGATAGGGGTGTCCCTTATCTAGGAGAAGTCGATCTCGAGTCTCCACCGAGCGCCAAATCGAATATGCCTTTTAGAATACACTCCCTTTGGGTATTTTGCGTAGAATTGGATAGATTCTAGCGTAGAACGGGCTCTGCGAACTTTTCCTAGTCAATATTTTGGAATCACTGAGAGCGATTTGATAGATTTTGACTGGAGTTTGACTGGTTCCTGTGCAGGTAATTCCCTAGTTGACCATTCGGGACTCATGTCAACTCTGAGACGTGCGCTGAGCAACAAAATCGACAAAAATAGTCGTTTCCTGGTCTGTCCCAGACTGCGGCTTATCACCGCTCCTGCCTCTGCTTCCCAACAACTGATGGACGACAGCCTGCTTTCTTGCAGTCGTGCTGGACGGAGCAGGAGAACAACAGGTCCAACCCATCCACAACGAAGAATGATGTTTTCCCTGCCGTGATTTCTGAGCCGTTTGGGCGGCGGACAACTGGCCATTGGAAGTCTGGATGCCGGGTTTCGGTGCACACAAACTGTTCGAGTGTTACGATTGCCGAGTTAGCAGCCCCGACAATCTCCTTCACGCGCCCAAGGACAGGGTTACGGTCCATGTCCCTCGTAAAGACCCAAGTATGTTCTTTTACGCGGTCTCCACTTTGGGCGATGACATACTGACCCCGTCGCCAGCTCGCATGTGTCGGTTCTGTCTCCACAGTCCAATATCGTTTGGCCATTGTCTCCGACCATGTAAGAGCTGGAGCAGTCTTGACACCCAAAAAACGGACAAAACCAGGTGTTGGAGCTGGATTTGGGGCCCATCCCAGATGTCGCTGAAAGACAGGGTTGGGTGAGTAATAACCTTCGTGTCTCTGGACCCGATTGAATCCATTCCCCGAGTGTAGACCGCTGGTACCCTCCGCAAAGAATGTGCTTGACGGTTGCCATTGACGCGAACTTAGCTGCAACATCTCGACTTGGCACCTGGTTGTTCCCGTTGACGGAACACATGCGAAAGATGGCATTGTATCCTTTATGTGTCTCAGTCGAGAAACGGATGGGAGGCCCATACCGCTCGACATCTTCAGGTAGGTGAGCCAATAGATGCAGTTTGATTTTGACAATGATGCTAAGTGGATCGACAGCGTCCCATGCATCGAGCACATTCGCCACTGCCGTCTTGAGCTGCGCGATATAGTTGGACATGTTGTCAATTTCCGGAACCCAGACCCAAGCACCCAGGTCGGCTGTCGCTTTCACAAGCCGAAATTGCTCGGGCGTGCAGATGCCATGGACATGGAACACCAACGCCTGCATTATGGCCTTGTAATCCTTGCCAATCAGGTTGTTGCGGTACTGAATCTTGTAAGCAGCCCGCATCGGGGGCATGTTCATTGCGCTGATATCAGTCGATTCCAGGCGGATTGCAAGCAGGTGTCGGTCCTCATCGGACCATTGCTTTGTGTGTAAATGGTGCCACACATATCGAACAGCGCCGAGCAGGATGGTATGGAGAATTTCGACAGGTGTGTCGCGTGCAGGATCAAGACCTTTGATATCGAGTAATGGATTAACTTTGTCTCCAGGCTGCGAATCAAGCCATTGTTGGACTTCAAGAGCAATGACAGACTTGCTTCGTCCCGGGTTGGCGGCCTTTTTCATGGCACCTTGCTTAAGAACTTGCTCAATCCAATACTGGGTGAGCTTATCCTTGGTACCAGTCTCTGTTTGGCGTTTCGCAATCATGGCAAGGGTGCTCCCGCTCGTTGCCATGTGGAGTTGCTCTAACAACTCACTCTGTATTTCGGCTGCTGTTCGCGGCATACCCGGCGTATGGCATTCATGGTATATTGGTCCGGATTCCTTTTCCTTTCTTGTTCCGCCCCATTTACATTTTCGACAGGGATGGTTTGAGTTGCAGCCCATATGGCTTGCTTCCTCAGACTGTTGTGGATTATCCCCATCCTCGTCTACAACCCGCAAAATGATTGCAGCCTCTCGATGAGTCCCTGCGTTATAACAGATCATCGGATCGGTTTCAGTCGCTCGTATCGAGTCCCTCAATGCCGCCGAAAATTCCGCGGTGGATGCATTTTGTGAAGCGGCCATGAAGTTAACATGGAACTCCTGCTTCAGAATTCGTCCGGGAATCGAGGTATTTTGCCCCAGCATCATCATGAACTTGTTGTACTGTTTTGATTTATTTCCAGAGACGTCGTCGATCCAGATTGAGACGCTAACAACGTATAGGTCGCGATTTCCACTCAGCTTGCGAAAGTCGCTTGGCATCTGAGTCAAGTGTTCATGTGAGCGTTGCGTCCAGACAATGTTGCTGTCAAACATGCCCATTAGATCGTCGAAGTCGGCGTCGAGATTATCCGCATTAATTTGGACCTCAACACCAGTACAATCCCACAGGCCCTCCGCCCGTTCGGACAACGGAGAGGGCATCAGAGGTGAGCCTGCCTTTGCGCATAATCCACGTCGTCGGAATAACGAAGTCCCCGTTTTGAAGCTGAGCGAGCTCATTGATCCACCATCTTCGACGGCCGTTGGAATACATGGGTGTCAGTTCTTCAGCTGTATATTCAAATAGCCGCCCGGCCTGCCAACGCTCAGAGATGCGCATCCTATCCACCTCTTCGGGGTATAGATGCAGATGTGGCACCACAAGTGGGTTACTGAAATCACGGGCAATGGCATGGCGAATGTCGTTCATATAGAAGATATTGCCAAGGCTGCCGGTAATCTTGACAGGTTTGTCAGAGAATTCTTCGTGTACTTTCTTTGGAATTTTTCGCAGGGATTTCAGTGTTGGTACATTGCGGGCACCAAGATGCTTCAGCAAATGAAGGATGAGTGACATCTGGGTTCCAGTAAATCGACATCGAGGTAAATTATCCACTGTATCTAACAGCATTACCTGGACAATATAAGTTCACCAATTCAAGCGTCTGTAATCACTGACCGTCCGGTTTGGGTATGGGAAGTATCACGGCTCTGGTTCAATAATTTCTGCATCTTCTTCGGTCAGTTCCTGCTCGATCTCCTCTCCAAGTCCATCGTCATCCTCCAACGGCCGTTCCCCCCTCCAACGCTCTTGCAAGTATCCACTGAAACTCTCGGCGGAGATCTTCGGCTGTCATTCCTGGGTCCCGGTTTTCCAGTACATATAGCTGCATCTATGCAAAAGATGTGGGTACCATCCCAAGGGGGTAATGCAAAAGATGTTGTGACAGATGGATTTCATGAATTTCTCACTGGAATCAAGAGATATGACTAATATAAAAATACATATAGGAAGATAAATCACCTTTTCTTTGGGCCGAATATTCGTAATATTATATTTGGTACTTATAAGCCCAGGGACCAAAAAATTAATAATCGATTAAGTAAGGTTGATGTAGCAAGATGCAGTCATCAAAAGCTCTGATGGCAATCAAAAATCGTTCCACATTGATCAACATACCTATATGCCATTGATCCCATCACTGATACCTTGATATAGCAGCCACAAACAAGAAAACAGTGTTATTTAATTTAATTTCTAAGTAGTTGCCCTCATCTTTTGCATTACCCCCCTAGGATGCTACCCACATCTTTTGCATAGATGCAGCCATATGAGCTGGGTTTTCACGTTGCTCTGCATCGCGCTGGGCAAGGTCTTGGGCAACAAACCGAAAGTCAGACATCTCGTGGTCCAGGGGAGACTCTTCTGCACTTGCCCAACATACCTTTCGGGTCCCCAGCCTTGCCAGCTTTGGTGAACGCAACCTCAAGCGCCAGAAACTGATGCCTCAGCTCGAGCGTGATTACATGGCAATCTGTGAGGTGCGGAGACAGTGGCATACATTGATACTGTCTTGACTGGTCCTTTTCTCCAGGCAACAAATGTTCATGAGCGACAGAATCTTGAAACTTTCGCCGTCTTTCAACTTCTCAACAAGGTCACCGAGATGACAGAGCTCCTGCAGCAATCTCAGGCAGAGGAGTTCAAAAAGAACGGTGATGTTGCTGTGCGTGCCCTCGAGCTTTCTTTGACTTTACCTGAATGACTTGCACAGACCGAGATTCGGAATTACTGCTGCGCCTTCTTTCTTGACCCCAACGTCCAGTTTTACAAGGGGAACATCAAGTTAATTGTTATCGTGCGTTAACAGTCTGTCCTTTACTCCCCTTTTTCGATTAAAACCCAACATCCAGGATGCAAAAAGTTCCTAAGATTCCTGCCAAAGATGCAACACTCGCGGCGAAAAAGGCCCTTGAGGCCGCTGTCGGTCACCAACTCTCTGTGGATCGCAACCACATCAAGTCTGAGGTGCGCGATCGATTGCTTGTCTCTGGCAATCACGCTGACTATTTGTAGCTCGAGAGCACGCTAAAATCGGGTGCTGATTCCAGGGATTTGGCCAGCGTTGCAAGTCGTATCGTTGGAGGTTGGGGCATCGAGGCCCCGATTACACTTCCACTTCTTTGGCGTCTTGCTCTTATGGTGTGTGGAATCTCTTCATGCATCTGAATACACCTTCAACACAGTTTAGCGGACCAAGCTTGTCGAGAAAAATGGCCGAGACTTCTGGGAGCACCTCGATGCCAAGCTGCATGGGCTTCGCTCGGATGATGACGCCGGTGTCTATGTTTAGTGTGTTCTTACCATCCTTGATGATTGGTTCTGATTTGGTTTTTAGTGCGCTGCAGGATAATTTTGAAGATGATGTAAAGAACTATGGGAAACTTAATCCGGAGGTCAAGCTGGATACAGATATTGGTCCGCACAGCCCAGCGTGGCTTCAGCGGGTTCGTAAACTGGCTCCACATGTTGAGAATATCAAAGTGACTAACCCAACGGCCACTGGACGCAAGCGTACACATGCTCAACTGTCGGATGATGAGGATGATGGGGCAGAGAAGGAGAATAACGGAGGTCAATAAGCATAAACTGTATTTTCAATACAACAATTCTAAGTCTGTGGTCGCTTCATTTGGAATTTGATAGTGGGAATAAGACATATATAAGATATAATTAAAAATGAATAATATTTATCAATGATTATAAAATTTAAATATATATGAATACTTTACCAGTATATTAGGGCAAAGGTGACAGTTATATTGTCTGGGATATCAAGTAGACATCATCAGATTGTATCAAATGACTGTCAATTGACATGGTATTTGGATTTGCCTGGTATATTTTCGGAAAGTCATTCTGACATTTCACACTAATATCTCAGAACATTTAATAGTGATATAATCTTGACATCATCACAAGTTTGGGGTGTACTGATGTGGAGTTAGAGACCCTAAAAAGACCATAAAGTTACCCTGGAGAGTCGAGACTAGCATACTTGATTATAGTGGAATATATTCATAATATATTCATATTTTGCAGGTGAATATGACCATACAGTATTTATACTATACTACAAATATATTATCCCGGAATATGATATGATTATAATATATTAGGTCCTCAGAATAATATGATCATATTTGGCCAGCACTATCCCGGCAACATGATAAGTGTACTGGTTCATGATCAGTCCATTCATTTTATGCGCTTATGCCAAATCCAGATGCTTCTTGCCTTCTAGCCCGGCTCCCACATGTCCACACAATGCCAGTGTGGATCCGGCGCTTATCGGAATCTCAGGGACGCCACACTTGTGCCACACCGGTTGACATCTGATGGCTCCCCGCACATCTTGCCCAAATACTTGGTGGAACACTTCCAGACCGCTTTATGCTTCAAGTTCAAACTACTGTGAGCCACAACACAAGGCAGATGCATAGTTTCCATGCAGCATCACACCTTCTTGACTTGAGAGGCGGTCTTAGCTCGGCACGTACATGCGACAGGCGTGTAAGTATTAGCCCCGCGCTACGGGCGCCTGGGCGTCTGCTTTTGAGACTCTTCTGCGATCCCCGCTGGCTACACACATTGTCCTCTCCCTTCATGGCCTACCAGCCCCCGCGTGGCCCGCATGGCAATTACGACTGGAATGCGTTCGGAGGTCAGGGGCAGCCGCACCAGCCGCGTTCCAGCGGGCCCTACTCCAGCGGCTACCATAGCACGGCCCAAGCGCCTCCCGCCGCATCCTACTCCTACTCTTATCCTCAGGCGGGCCCTTCATATCCCGGGCCATCGGGCTCCAGAATGCCACACGCCCCCCGACTCGCAGGGCCAACGGACTGGCGGGAGGTGGACGTCGTCGACGAGGATGCGGAGGACAAGGAGGATTGGGCGGACGAGCATCGCGAGTACGTCAGCCCCCAGTCACGCGCGCCGCCACCGCCGGTGTTTCCCCGCCCGCGCCAGGGCCAGCTCGGAAGCCTGATCGATCGCGCGCGCTCGCCTGCAATCGAGCGCTCGAAAACGCCCATCGGCCAACGCATGCGCCGACCGGGCGGTTCCGGAGCGGAGCGCCCAGCCCGGCCTCGGACACCGGTGGGCCGGGCCGGTACCCGACCAATGCCCGCCGCACCGTCGAAAGGTGAGGGGTATCTGCATCCCGGCGCCCAGGCGACAGCGCATTACTCATCCTATCCACCTGAATCGCCACAAAACCCATCCTATCGCGATTTCCCCGGCGACTATCCACAAAAGCACGCAAAGTCCAGTGCCAAGGAGGGAGCATATGGGGAGGATAATTATTCGCCGCCGAAGAATGACTACAGGGGTCGGCGGGGCGCCGCAGCACCGTCAGCGTACGACCGTGATGACCGCTATCCAGGGCCGAGCGCGCGATTTCAGCCTTCCGGCAAACTAAGCGAGCCTCGCCCAGTGCGGAAGTACGACCCACGCGAGGACGAAGATCGCGAATCGGCGGAGCTGCTTGCGCAGGCCGCGTTCCGCTCGTTCTCTCTCAGAGACAGGCCGCTTGTCGACGACCGCGATCCCAGCCCCCACAGGCGGCCGAAGCCAGGCAAGAAGCCCGCGTCATCATTGGGTGCCGGCGCCGGGCCCGGGGGTGGCCTGCAACTCAGCTTCATCGGCCGGCCCCCGGTGTCGGCGAATCGGGCCGATGGGCCGCGACCAGCCGTGGCGCCACCGATGAAGACAGCGCAGTCTGCACCGGCCGTGTTGATTGAATTTCCACCCCGACAACGACCGGTTCCGCAGCCTAAGGCACCGTTGGCGATTCCCTTCCTGCCACCACAGGCCCAGGGGCAGCCACCGTCGTACCCGCCGTACCGCAGCGGGCCGCCACCACCGCCCGGTGGTGTCTACTTGGACTACTCGCGCTTCGAGCCGGGCAGACCGCCGGAGTCGGACCGCCCGTCGGTGAGTCTTTCGTTTAGATGTCTGCCGGAGGGAAATGCTGAATTGATGATAGTTATACGAAGCGGGCCGCTCCTCAACAATATAGTGCGGTTGCTTTCTTTGTCTATGCTTTTTTTCTTGTACAAACCGATGTATAGTCCTGTAACTGTGGTACCTACGCTTGATCTTGTATATCTAGATTTTTGGAACTTGGTTCACTTGATAATATCACACGGGTTTAATTGAAAGCTTATCCTAAAAAGGCAATTTGTGCATTTCCGCCGTCTCCAAGAACTTCCTCATAAGGAAATAATTCCAAATTTCACATCAAATATTGTGCCATTTGTAGCATGTAAATTGTATACCATACTACAGCATATAAATACAGATAGTATTGCTATGTGGAAAATATATATACAGAGAAACTATATACTCATTCCATGGATAGTGGCCTTCACACTGTAAATTCAGAACTTTCATTTCCTACTAGAGTAACTGGCTGGGGCTATGCAAATAAGTTATGAAATCTCAAAGTCGACATGCCCTATACAATGACACTAATATTATATCTTCACATGTGCAATGATAGTTCACTCACTTATACTGTTATACTACAGTTGTAGATTAACCAAGAACAGTACTGTAGTTAGTATTTTACTCAATTTGAATGCCAAAAATGGCGTGACATTTGAAATGAAAATTTGAATTCGAATTATTGCCTATGTCAGGGGAACCTCCCTTTCGGCCCGGAGACGCGTCCGATTCCGGTTCCAACTCCGGTCCGGCCCTCCATCTCGCCCGCACAATCACCGATCCGTCAACGCCCTCTCGACGGTCGCCCTGGGACCTCGCCTGCGATGCCGCCCAAGCCTTCTGTGCCCGACAGCGGCAGCTACGGACAAGCAGTATATAGTCAGCTCCCTAGCAGGCGGACCCTTAGAGTTTCTTCTCTTTGGATCCTCCCCTGCTAGGTCAGCTTCGTTTGTATTCGCTTACCAATGCTCACGCTTTGGATCCTCCCCTACTAGGACCTTGATCTCAGGCCTCCGGGGTTGCCCTTACAGCCTAATTGGGAAGCTCTTGGCGCCGGAGGTGCCTGGAAACGTCATAAATTGCCCTTTTGGGACACAAATTTGAGCAAAACAGTGTGACATGCAAAAAAAAAAAAATCGAATTTTTTAGGCAAGTGTGACACGTGACATGTAAGCTGAGTAAAATACTACAGTACACAAATAGCCTTAGATTGGACTTGGATAGAGAGTGGGAAATGGTATGGGTTGGCCCAACCCATGGGTCAGACCTACCCATGTACCCTTGGGTCACCTACCCGTGGACCCAGGTTATGTAGTCATGCAATATAAGTAAGCAGTTATCTTATGTAATTGGTTTTAAACTATGCATTTATTGAAAGCCCAGAGTTTCTATAGGATTTCAAGTGCATTTGCAGAAATTTCATATTAGTCTTAACCAATTAAAGTAGCATACCCATACCCATATCCATGGGGTATGGATATGGTGGCTGTGCAGGTACGGGTATGAGTAGGCCTGTAATACCCAGGGGTTTACTCATGCCATTTAGCTAAAAAGTTTCTAAAAAAGAATTTTAAGGTTCCAGAGGGGGGACTGACCAACCATCCCTGTTGTCACTTTCTGACATGTGACATCCCCCTTGATTCAGGCTGTCAAAGTAAGTTAAAAAATACTACTCTTTGAATAAATTTTCTTCTGCCAAAAACAACTTGTTTTTGCATAGTAAGAAAACATAAGATTTTATAGAGTAACTCTCCAAAGGGAAATTGCTGATTTTGGAAGGGGTTTCGGAGATAAAAAAAGCAAATAGGTTGTCTATTTTTTCATAAAGCAAACAATTTGTTTAGTGATGAAAATCAAAGGTTTATTAAAGAATTCCTTTGGTTTCTGACAGAAAAACTGGAAAGAAACCCATTGGTCTTTGAATTGCAAGAATCAATTCAAAAGAAGTAAGTATTGTCGCATTTTATTCAATTCAGATGCCAAAAGTAGTGTGACATTTAATATGAAAATATGAATTCGAAATATTTCCTGATTAAGAAGTTCTTGGCACCTCCGGCGCCCGGAAATGCCCAAAATTGCCTTTTTGGGAGAGGACTTGGAGCAAAATGGTGTGACATGCAAAGATTTTTCGAATTTTATAACTACTGTGACATGTGACAGACAAACTGAATACATTGCTAGAGTAATTTCCTCTTGCTGAAAGTTTGATAGAAAATCTCAAGAAAATCTACTGTTTACTCTTCAAAAACTATTTGTTTATGGCAGAAGAAAATTGGTTCAAAAACTTGTACTTCTTGACTAACTTTTGCCGCTTGAATTTACATCAACTTCTAGTGTTATATATATTTGACGATGTGATGCCCACATGTCTCACCGCACGGTCCGCACCATCGGATCAAGGTGACCGTCACCGTACCGCCACATCACCTTGGCTTCTCTCATGCCTCCATGTCCACCAGAGCTCATCCACATCATCGCGACCTCTGCCGCCACCTCGGCTCTCAGCGCCCTCTGCCGTGTCTCGCACGCAACCCGCTTCGAAGCCGAGCGTGTTCTCTATCGTGCTATCGACTTGACTGAGTGTACGCGACGTGTTCTTCGGGCGTGGTGCAAAGTGATGAAGCGGCGAGTCCATCTTCCGTCGCTGGTGGGAAAGCTATCCATTCGACTGCTTCGCGACTTGGAGACGGAAGATGGCGTGAACCTTGCGCGTATATTGACATTGTGCGTCAACCTCAAGGATCTTTCTATCCTCCACCCTACGCGCCGCTTCCCCACCGCCGGCATCGAATCTCGCCAAAATAGCAGCTGGGAGAGCGTGTGCTACTGGTCCTGGCTCATCGCGGCGGCCCCGTTTCGTCTGGATCGCTTCCACTGCACTGGGTTGCAGCTTGATTTCCTGAACGAGAAGGCCACCCCCTCGCGACCTGACGTTGATTTCTGGAAGAATCAAACGGCGTTGCGTATCCTGTCGATCCCCGACCAATGGCAATTCCCTATCGACACGGACACGCTCAGCGAGCAGCCCGCGTATCTCGCAACATTGGAGGTTCTGGAAACCACTGCCACGGCATTCAACCTAGGCTACATCCTCCCCGCGCTGCGCACTTTGCATCTCCATGTCAGCGACTCTCATTTGGAAGAGGACCTTCTTCACGCGTTTTCCCATGTGGCTATCCACGACTTGACCCTCGAGCGTCTCGTGATCATTGATCATGGCCTAGGCTCTCCCTCGCGCCGGCGGGCGAGCTACATCCCCCTCGTCGCTGGTCTCATTCCGACGCTGCGCCACCTCGCCATCACGCATGCGCCGTGTGGCACCCCTGGGACGGTAAGCGTACTTTCTAACTCCTACCCATCCATGGCTTATTGGGACCGTCACCTACAGCATGTCGCAGAGGCGCAGCAGATGCTGAGGAACCTCCACCAACTCGTCCATCTTGAGTCCCTCGTCCTCCAATTCCAACGGCCAGCGGGCCCGCTCACGATGATCGTCGCCGACAATTTCGACATGTACGCCCTGAATAAGCCCGCGCAGGCGCGTAAATTCGGAAACTCCGTCATGCAGCGGTTGTTGCCTCCGCTCGCGCGGCTCGAGGTTGGTGTGGCCGTGGGGACTCGGACGCCGGTGAGCTATGTTTTTACGCGAGACTCCGACACGGGCAAGGTGGTTTCACGGACTGTGGACGGGTGGGAGTGGGATGCTGCGCGCGAGTTTATGGAGTACTAGCCGGGTGTGTGGCCGAGTTGAACGACCTCCAATCCAGATTGAAGATGTTAGCGAAGGTGCGTCAGTTCCGGAGCAAGAAGGAACTCTTTATATTGACCTGTTAGCGAAGGTCTACAAACTGTAAGTAACGAGTGAGAGGAAGGCAGCGGGACGTACGCGTCAGTTCCGGAGCAAGAAGGAACTGACGTGTCACACCCCGTTGCCAAGCGTATCGGTAATGAGTGTGCGCCGTTTGGGTATCGGAATGAAGAAAGGAAAAGAAAGGAATGTATATATAGTGTCCGTTTATGTACAGTAGAATATAGCTAACAGAAGATACCATGAGGGCTTCTCAGCAGTACACACTATAGTACATGTCTATTCTCATTCATATTTGACTAGCAGCTGTTTGAATAAGTATGGGCGATCTACGAGAGATGTGACTGGATGGAACTGTCCCCCGTCAGCCTCCGTTCAGCGATCACCGCGTCCACGCGGGTCCAGAATTCCTCGGAAGGGTATAGACGCGCAGCGGCCCAGTCGGGGAAGTATTCTGAGAGGAGCATTACAACAAAGCGCAGGTCGTCAGAGGCGGACGTGAGCTGCGGGGTCGGCCCATCCAGGGTGAGCAGCACCAGCGCATGGAGTTTGCGGCCGGCGTCGTCCCGTAGGAGCTCAGCGTAGATATTGGATTGGGAGGAGTCAAAGTCGGCTTCGCCGTCGCCGTTGAGCGCGAGGTGCGTCAGCGATGGGATGCATAAGACAGCTCGATAGGTCTCGAGCGCCTTCGGTAGCTCGAATGGGCCGTCAAACAGCTCCAAATGCGTCAGCTGTCGGAAGGTGGGATGCGTGCTGAAGTTAATGGACTCCACGTCCAGCAGCTCCAGAATGGGAGCATGCAGATGACGCAGCGATGTTAAGGCCACAGTCGACCCGTCCGGCCTTTCGAGCGCACCGAGCAGCTCGCTGCCCCAGATGACGTACAGATTCTCCACCTGCGAGCATATGTCGAGGATGGCCCTAATGTCCGCGCCGGACATCGCCACCGCCATCACGTTCTTGACGGCCCGCCGCATGAATTCGCTCCCCCTGCGCTCGGCGACCCCGAGGAAGATCTCCACCCGACAGGTTGGTAGCAGGGAGGCCGACACGATCTTCGAGACTTTGTTCGCCGTGAAGATCAGCGTGCGGTACAGAAGCGGCTCCACCCTGCCTCTGAGTGCTGAGTCCGGCAGTGCCGAGTGAGGTTTGGGACACACACCACTCTCTGACGCGACTCGATACGAGCATCAGGGTCGGGATGAACGGCGGGCATCCGTGGGCGGCGGTCTCGAAAATGACCAGTTCTAGTTCAGGAGGAAGGACGGGTGGCTGCGTGGAGGGAGTTTCCGACATATCCAGGCTGTTTTGCGCTGGTGGTTGCCACAGAGATGGAAGTGGAAGAGAAGCTGTGGTGCTTACGTCACACGTGTTAGGCTCGGCGATCATATTGACATCAATCTCTTCCCTCTCGAGAGCAGATGCTCTCCATGTTTTGATACTACTATTAATGAAACGAACTGAAAAGATGTCCCCCACAAGCAGTTGTCCAAACAAGAACTCCAGGTGAGCCGGAAGTCCAGATATGCGGAAACAAAGTAGGCTACGCCGGTCACAGCTTTGCCTGGATCTTCTCCCTGCCGCGGACCATCAGCTCCAGACCCGCACTAGAGCCATCAACTCACGAGATGCAAAACAACCGCGCCATCCCCGCCATCCCCCCGCCCCTCAGGGACACGCACAGCCAGTCGTCTCGGACGGAGCACGCCACCGTGCCGACGAACGACCCCACAGCGAAGTCAGCGAAGACGTCGTCCGCGAGGTTGCCACGTAGCGCCGCGAGGTCCACGCGGCCGATCACAGGGAACTCCCCGAAGAGGTGCGCGTCGAGGGTGGTCCGGGAAACGGTGCCCTTCAGCTGGGAAGTATCAGTAGGGAACAAGGAGTGAGAGTACCAGTGGAGGGGGACGCACGGAGAGTGAGGGCCCGTCCCGACCGCGGAAAGGGAGCGGCTCTTCGAAGCGGTAGCTGCTGGCGGCCATGCTCGACTTGGACAAAGATGCACGAATAGAGACCGGATTCAGAGGAACGTGGGGATCTCTGGGATTCGTAGATTCCGCCACTGCCGCTTATAAGCATTGATTCCAGGGACCGGAATGTCACTATAGACGGCGCGCGGGTGGTGATTAGCCTACGTTGCCGGTTCATTAGCACGTCCCGCTGTCATATGCGCCACTAAGTACCATTTGTCGTGAGGCGAGAGAGATTCAGGAAACAAATGAGCGTCAAATGAATGTCACCCTCGCGAAAACTCACCATTTCTGCCATTTTTCTGCTCTAATAGTAGGTTACATAGGAGAACACTCTGAAAGATGTTGGAAGATGATGTTAGCTGGACATACTTGAAAGAAGCTTGCGGACGCACGTATGTCCTCCCTGAACCCGGGCCCTTCCGATTGAGATACTGGGTTCTATCGACAGGGAGGCGTCCGAGTCATCGCCACTATAGATCGGTGGGGGAAGCCGCCGCAACAAGCACTGGCACGGAGCGACAAGACACATTGCGGTGAAACCGTGACATCCGAGGCGTGGATGAGGGAAGGTGACAAGAAGGATGTGCTGACGTCAGAGATTGATGTCAATCGCCTCTGCGTGCCGGCAACACGTAAGCAGCCACAGCTTCTCTTCCGCTACCATCGTTGACAACAGGAAAGAGCACACATGTCGGAAGCTCGCTCCGCGCCGCCGCCCGTGCTCCCCCCTGAACTAGAACTGGCCATCTTCGAGACTGCCGCCCGCGCATGCCCGCCGTTCGTCCCGACCCTGATGCTCGTATCGAAGCGCGTCAGAGAGTGGTGTGTCCCAAACCTCACTCAATACCGCCAGACTCACCACTACAACTTGAATGCAGGGTGGAGCCGATTCTGTACCACACATTGATCTTCGGCACCACCAGAGCCGCGGCCGTGCTGCCGACGTGTCCGATGGAGGTCTTCCTCGAGGTCGCAGCGCGCAAGGGGCACGAATTCCTGCGGCGCGCCGTCAAGAACGTGATGGCGGTGGAAATATCCGGACCGGACGTCCGGGCTATCCTGGAAGTATGCTCGCGGGTGGAGAATTTATACATCATCTGGGGCAACAGGCTACTGGGTACCCTCGAGATGACATCGGCATCGCTGCGCCATTTACACGCTCCCGTCCTCGCAATGTTTGATGCAACCCTCCCCAACTTCCGCACGCATCGCACCTTCCAACAGTTGACGCATCTGGAGCTCCTCGACCTCCCGTTCGGATTCGAGACTGCAATCGCGGTGTGCAAGGCCGTACTATCCATCCCGTCGCTCACCCACTTTGCGCTGAACGGCGACAGCGAGGCTGACTTCGATGAAATGTCACAGTCCAACATCTACGCCGAGCTTCTGCGGGACGACGTGGCCCAAAAACTACTCGCTCTTGTGGTGCTCACACCGTATGAGCCGACTGAGCAGTTCATTTCCGCCTCCGATGACGTGCGCTTCGTCGCAATGCGCCTCTCGGAGTACTTCTCTCACTGGGCAATGGCGCGCCTTTACCCCGCTGAGGAATTCTGGACGCATGTAGATACGGTGATTGCTCGACGGAGGCTAACGGGGGATAATTCTATCCAACCACCGGCACGTCTCTCGTAGATGTTATATTTTGACGCTATTTCTAATTGCAACCTGTTCAACACCACGGATTCTCCGCAACGACGCCCGCCACGGGAACATACGCCGCGATCTTTAAATCCTGATACCCGTACTTGATCGCGCTCGCGCGTTCCGCTGCCGACGCTGTAGGAGCAAAAGTCAGCAAACCACACCGCCGGTGACGCCTCTGAGTGTACGCACTGGTGTAAAAGTGGTCGTGCGTGCGCGCGAGGTAGAGCTCGTAGAGCGGGATGCCCGTCGTCTGACACGCGGGGAAGTCAAATACGTAGCCCGCGTTGCCCTGCATGACGTAGCCGTTGCGCATCGCCGTGCGCGCCTGACTTTCGAAGATCCTGTGAACGACGCGATGGCCGGTTCAGCACACGACTTTTCTAAGAAAAAGCTAAAGGGACGCACGTGTAGAAGTGGTCGTCCAGGCCCTCCGCCCACAGCCTCAGTAGCGGGTAGGTGTTAGGCTGCTGCACGAGAAACACGCCTGCCGCGCTGCCCTCCAGGACATATCCCGGCATCGCGACCGCTTCCGTCGCGTTGACTCTGCGGGGTACATCAGGGCCCGCATCAATACGGAAAAGGGGAAACTCGGACGTGTATGCGTGGTCGCCGGTCGTCGGGTTGTAGACGCGGTGCAGGGGTACAATTCCTGTGGCGCAAGCGGGACAATCCGGTGGTAATGGGGTTTGGGATTGAGCATCCTAAACAAGAAGACGAGTCAGCGCCGACAGAAATACCGGTACAACGCACCACACTCATGCTCCCGGAGCTGACGGCCGACAGAGCACACAGGGAAAGAAGCCGGGACACCATTTGAAGACCGCTGACCATGGCGACGGGGGCTGCTGTGAGGGGAAGCATCGCTGGCCATGGCTGTTATAGTTAAATCTCCAATAGCGGCACCCAGAATGCTTGGTTCCTGATCCCTGCCAGCTGGGTGTCATGTATTCAATGAGCCATGTTATTCTTATTACTGGTACACTGTCGTTAAAACCCCTGAAGGTATAAATTAATAATTAATCATGATTGGTGGCGGTCTAAATCGGGTATAGCCGCACCCGCATATAGGCCAGCCAGAATCATACGATGGTTGATCAAATATTGAATATATTCAGACTATTATGATATATTATGCCCTTGGTCACCTGTTAATCCCACATATCTCTTCTAATTAGAAGTGAGGCTACACTGGGGTCTCACCTCTACTAGTAATTACTTAGAAGAGATGACTGAAAAATAGCTATGCTGCAATAATTCTCAAATATCTTGCTAAAGGTTTAAAAGGCAAAGGAACAGGATTTAAGTGCCATGACAATAGTGCACAGTATTTAGAGACACTTTTTTCAGCCTACTTCCCCTTTGTTTTATCCTTAGTCTGGTAACTACTGCCAGAACTGACTTCTGTTCTGGCCCTTCTGAGTGCATGTTTTATAGAAGAGCCTTGCACAGCCTGACCTGTAGCCTGACAAGTCACAATAGTTAGTGAAAAAGCAGAGGTCTCACAGGGCAGATAATAATACTATTCTGGCAGAATTAGGTAAGACTAGCAAATTTTTGGGTCAAATAATTTGTCCTGTTTGCACAGGGCTTGTAATTCTGTAGTATTTTATTACTTTGTGTGTACTGTTCACACTGACTTTAAAATTTGAATTTCTTTTGCATGTCACACTGTTTTGCCCAAAATTTCATTGTGAAAAGATAATTTTTTTCAACATGTGAGGCAAGTTACAAGTACCAGTAGTATCAGGGAATTGATATATATATATATATATATATATAATCACCAAACTCTTGTCACAGATAAGGCCGGGCCTGTACGGGCAACCCTGGAGACTAGGGTGCTGTGAGTTGAACCTGTTTCGAAACCCGTTTCGAAACGGTTTTGAAACAGGTGTGAGTTTTGAAATGTCCGCGGCCCAACCGCGGTTTCGAAACAGGCATGTGACATATCCGGGATGCCCGGACACGTGTCTGGCACGTGAATCGGTCTCCCGGGACTGCAGCAGTAACCACAGACACATGTGCGGCCTATGAGCATGTGTTCTGATATGCGGGACGGCATTTATGCGCGGGCTCGCTCCCTGGGCCGGCCTCTCTGTCATCGGACCCGTCAGGCTGTCACCGACCGGCGGTGACTTACCTCATCAAGCCGCTGGGTTTCGAAACTGTTTCGAAACGGGCCTGTTTCGAAACCGGTTTCGAAACAGCGGTGAGTAATTCTTTTTGAATTACTCACAGCACCCTACTGGAGACTCTGACGAAAGCCTAGCAGGGGAGGATCCACAGAGAAGAAACTCTAAAGGTCCGCCTGCTATGGTGCCAACTATATACTGGTTGTCTGTAACTGCCGATGTAGAGCGCAGAAGCCTGAGCAGTGTTGCAGGCTCTGTCCCAAGGTGATTGTTGGGAGGGCCTTGATGGATCGGTGATTGTGCGGGTGAAGGAGGCTGTGGACGATGGTCGGGATGGGTCGGAGCGTCCGAGGGGGGCACCGGTCGTATGCGCTCGGACGGTTCGAAGGAAGCCAAAGTGGGGGTTCCCCTGACAGGGCCACCCAGGGCCCAGAACACACAGACTAACACTTCTGTACTATATATGTGGCAGATATGATGTTTGTGTAGATGTTATGTTCCAGCTTCACCCTTTGTAGCCAAATATTTATATATATATATGTAAGGACAAGGACGGTAGGTTGTATGCAATTTCATCAATAATGAAGCTCATGCCTTATTAGTAGGTAGCTATTTCAGTCATTCACCACCATGACTAAGGTATCGTCTACAATGATATATGAGAATCATATCATATATATCATATAATGATTCATATTTGGAGGCCCAAGACAAGGATCTATTTGTACGATAGGCTTAGTCAACAACACAGCCCCCGTATGAGCCCTCACGCACACTAATTCACCCTGTACGTGCTTATATTACATCTATTCCTTTTCATTCTAAAACATGTCACTCATGTGGAGGATATGAAAATCAGGATGTTCAAGGAGAGAGCTCTATCTGCTCAGGAATATGCAGAAAAGTACAAGAAGAGCATCAAGGACTACAAATTTGAACCTGGGGACATTGTTCTAGTCAGGAACTCTGAAGATGAAGATTCTCCTAGCGCACGCAACAGAGGCTGTTGGGCTGGACCTGTTGTGGTCATCAGAAGGACCAAGGGTGGAGCCTACATTGTGTGTGATATGAATGGAGCAGTGTGGCAGAAGAAGATAGGGAAATTCAGAGTAATTCCCTTCCATCAGAGGAGAAAACGGACCGTGGGAACACGAATTGAAGAGCTGGTTGATGCATCAAAACAAGTTCTAGATGATTTGGAGGCAGAATCTGAGAAAGAGCTGGAGTATCAAGAGGGAGCTTTATGGTCTCAAGAGATCTTTGGAAGCTATGAAGTACTGGTTGTTGGGTTGTAGGAGACTGGTCATTGAGACAGACGCCAAGTATATCCAGGGCATGTTGAACAATCCAGGCATGGGCCCGAACGCGACCATCAACAGATGGATCGAACAGATTTTGATGTTCAAGTTCAAACTCAAGCATGTCAAGGGAGCTGCTTTCCCACCAGATGGACTGTCTAGGAGAGAACCTCAACCAGGAGATGAAGTTTGGCCACCAGATCTAGATGGGTTTGAACCTAGCAACCCACCTGAGGTACATGATGACTGGGACTATTTTGCAGAACAGCTACTGGACTCTGAAGACTTCAAAGCTGATATTGACACAAGAGGTGGATATGTTCAGGAAGTCTCAAATCTGGCAAAATCTGTTAAGGACTTTAGGTTGGAAATTGAACAAGCTCAGGAGGATGACAAAGCATATAGGATTTGTGTTCAACAAGCTTATCAAGCAGAAGAGTTGGAGATGCCAGCATATTTACAGGCAGACCTGCAGGAAGACAAGCTCTTACCAGATGAAATTCTCAAGAAAGATGAATCAGAAAGGGAGCCATATGATGAGGAGCATAGGAGCAAGAGTGTGAAGGTTTTGGATGATAGGATACCTTTGGTGAAGGAATGGCTACAGGACACCTTGAAGAGACCCTCTGGAATGAATGACAACCTCAAGTACAAGAGATTTGTCAAGCTAGCTTCAAAGTTCTTCCTGACTAAGGAGGGAAAACTCTCTATAAACGTGGAGAAGAATCTATGCATCAGTTGGTGGTGGAGAAACCATACAGGATGTATATGATGAGAGCTGCTCATGATGCTCTAGGTCACAGGGGAGCATTTGCAACAAAGTCTCTGTTGGAGTTAAGGTTTTGGTGGCCTGATTTAGAGGGAGATGTCAGGTGGTATATCAAGACCTGCACCCTCTGCCAGAAGAGAAGACTCAATTTGATCAGAGCACCACCAGTGGTAGCTGCCATTCCAGGAATATGTCAGAAGATTCACACAGATATGATGTACATGTCTGAAAAGTCACATGGATGTCATTTTGTGGTAAATGCCAGATGTGCTCTTTCCAGATATGTAGAGGGAAGGGCTATAAGGGAGCAAAATGCTAGGACTATTGGGCTGTTTTTGCTGGAAGATGTTATCTGCAGATGGGGCTGTCCTAAAGAAATTGTCTCTGACAATGGAACTCCATTTGTAACAGCCATCAAATGGTTAGAGTCCAAATATGGCATCAAAGGAGTCAAGATTGCGCCATACAATTCACAAGCCAATGGAATCATAGAAAGAGGACACTTGGATCTGAGACAGAATCTGAGAAAGAGCTGGAGTATCATGGTCCAGATATTCAATTTGATGGAATCAAGGTTCGCATCAACGATGCCGAGGATGCCGGAGATGCCGAGGAGTTGGGATCACCATTAACACCTCTATCAGACTCAGATGATGAGGAACAAAGGCTGGATCACTAAGATCACGAGCCGGAAGAGCTGGAAGAGGAGTGGCCCGAAGATGGCCTGCAACGCTCGCGAAGGCCTCCGAAGCCGCGAGAAAGGCAATGGTATCATCGATTGCATCAACAAGGATCATACGACATGTGTAGTAGGTGTGCGAAACATCTGGAGAGGACTATCTACGGGTAGCAGCTTATGTGCACACTTGGACTTAAACATTCGGAAAGCATCACACTGAATTGGGCCGAAAACTTACAAATCAGGCTAGGAAAACAGCAAAGTACGATATATTGGGCCATCCCGGCCATATTCGGAGCACAATACAGGCAGTAACACAACGGTACACTAAATGCAGGACAAACTGGGTACAGATCAGGACTAAAATACATGCGGGCACATTCGGGGCACTGCGAGATGATATGCGAGGAGATATGTGGTGAGATATGCAGCAAACACAGCAGAATAATCAGCGACTAGAGCGATACAAGTGGATTCGAGATTTGAGATGCAATGAGCGATGAGCACGATTAGCGATAAGAGGGTTCTTGGTTATGGATGTCGAAGACATAGTCATGAGTGCCGACTGGACGCTGTCGAAAGGTTAGCAACAAGAAACAATAAAGGAGGAAGAACGACACCCACCAGATGAAGGGGAACGGTGGAATACAGCGGAATAACTGCTGGAATGCCATATAACTGGGCATATTCAATAACGAGCTGAGCCCGTTGCAGCAAGAAATTACAATATGCAAGGTCGATGGTGGCAATCTGAGCAAGGATCTGCTCGCCCCATTGCTGTTGCGCGTTCGAGTAAATGCGGGGCATGACATGGAAGTTGATAGGCGGAGAGACGTGGCCAGAAGGACCAGCAACTGAACGAAAAGGGTCAGTAGATGAAGAACAAGCAAGGACAGAATACGTACTGGGAGGCGACGAGTGTGGAACAAAACCATGAGGGCCAGATACTCCCGGGCCAGAAAGATTGGGACCACGCATACGAG